CCAGCTCCTTGAGTACCCTGGGGTGTAGATTTTCAGGGTCGGCTGACTTGAAGGTATACACCTTCTGAAGATGTTCCTTCACGAGGTCAGCATTTATGGAGGGCAGGGGATCTCCCCCACCCGGACCTCCCTGCCCCGTAGCGGGCATGGGTGTCCCATGGGACTGATGAAAGACTGATGCAAAGTACCCATTTAATAGGTTGGCTTTTCCCTGGGCATCAGTTGTCAGTTGTCCCATTTGGTTCAGCAGGGTTCCAATGTTGCCCTTGCTTTTCCTCTGGCTCCCCACATATCTGAAAATGGACTTTTTTATTGTCCTTGATGCTCGAAGCTAGTTGGAGTTCAGTTGCAGCCTTGGCTTTCCTGGTTTGCTTCCTGCAGGACTGGACCATTGCAGAATATTCTTCTTTGGAGGTGAATCCTTTGTAGACTTTTCCTTTTAGCCTCAGGAGGTCTGCTAGATCCCTGGAGAGCCAGGGGGGCTGCTGTGCCCTCTTGTTGCCTTTCCTCTGAGATGAACTAGAATTAGCTTGTGCATCAAGGATGGCTCCCTTGAGGAGCAACCACTCATCCTGAACTCCCCTCCCCCTGGGGTCATGGTCCCTTAGGGCCTCCTGAGCTTGTCAAAGTTGGCTTTCCTGAAGTCAAGGACTTCAGTGACGCTGACTGACTTGCCAGCTTTATGGCAGATGGTGAAAGTGATCAGCTCTTGGTCACTATCACCCAGCTTCCCATCAATCACTAGGTTGCCGATTAATTCATCCCCAGTAGTCAGCACCAGGTCGAGCAGCACTTTACTTCTCATTGGCCCGCAGACTTCTTGAGTCAGGTAGAGGTCATCTGTGCATGATAGGAAGCCAGCGGGAAGTTAGCGCTTGCCCATCCGCGGCATGCTGCTGATAGCCAGGCTGGGCCTGAGTCTGTCTACCGTAGGGGGCTCGCAGGCAGGGCCTTGGGCCCTCTCACGCACCCTCCTGTGCGAACTCCATGCTAACTCATGCACTGGCAGACAAGCATGCCTGTTTGCACAGCCTGTTCGTGTGGCTCTGGTTGTGTGGCTCCCTGGGAGCCTGGGCGAAGTAGGTGCCTGGGCGGGGTGAGACCCAGCCTGGCTCCAACCCATCCTCCTCCTCCCTCTCTCTAAGGGTTAACCCCCTCCCACCATGGGCCCCACTTACCTCCGGCTGTGCTGGGGGTTGGCAGGGGGCTCCGCAGCTGCTGGGGGCTCTCTGGGGGGCTTTGGGGGAGTGGGGGCACA